GGTTTGGTCTCGGCGTCTCCCATTATACATTGCGCCATTCCCCAACTGCGAAGCTCTTGCGATAGATGCTTTTCGGTCCAGCCTGTTGCTCTGGATTCTGGATCGACTGAATTTATATCAGGAGTGAGTGGTTCTCTGGCTCCATGGTGGCCGGCCCAGCCTTGATATCAGACGCTGCTTGCTCGGTGTTGGAACCCGGGCGTTTTTTTGCGGCTCTGCCTCTTTCAGCAGGTTGGGCCTGTGAGGTACCTCACTGGTCGCCTTACTGCTTCGTATTATGCGACTGGTCTTGGTTGATCATCCATACTTCCTCATAGCTCCGTACATGGAGCTATCCAGGCTGACACATGTGTATTGCCATTTGTATGGTGATCAGGTGGCTTCTCTGATGGTGTCCCACCTGTAGTCTTCTTCTCACCAATAGTATGAAATTCATGGAGGTTTTTCCATCATTTTCCCTCTCTTTGTTGGTTTTCATTGATTTCGGACCAGGTTATTTGTCTTTTCGCTCTTTGATTTTTCTGGATCGGCATCTCATGCCTAATAGCATCGCTTCATATCGCACAACTTTGGTAGAGCTGCTGCTGCTTGCATTCAGGACGGATGCTCTTTCCGCTTAGTTCTGCAAGCTTTCTCATGCGTTTTTTCACCTCCGACCTACTCATGTGCCGCCTGAGCTTTCTTGGTCTTTGGACCCAGTTCCTTTCTTTTCTTTCTTCTCCTCACTGTGTTGTAGCCCCTTTGGTTTGGAATTGCTTTCGGGAGGCCTTGTTTATTTGGCCTTGGCCTCTGCGGGTTGGGTTGGGGAACTTCATGCTTTCCTTCGATGCCGGGGGTTCTGTTCGTTTGTTCCAGGTGGTAATTTTGTTCATTTGCAGCCTTCTTTCTCTTTTTCTGGTGAAGAATGGGATGGCTGGCTTCCAGAGGGGTCCACTGGTTGTGGATGCTTGATTGGTTTGGCTGGGGGTGTGTCAAGTGTTGTAATTACCTAAGTGTAATTACCTAAGTGTAGTTACAGGATGAGAGCTACGCTCATGGTGTCCCATCTTCCCAGCACTCTTTGTCATATAATGCTTTGAAACTACTGACGGTCTTGGCCTCCACCACCTTCTCACTTAACTTGTTCCAACCGTCTACCACTCTGTTTGCGAAGGTGAATTTTCTTATATTTCTTCGGCATCTGTGTTTAGCTAGTTTAAATCTATGACCTCTTGTTCTTGAAGTTCAGGTCTCAGGAAATCTTCCCTGTCGATTTTATCAATTCCTGTTACTATTTTGTATGTAGTGATCATATCACCTCTTTTTCTTCTGTCTTCTAGTTTTGGCATGTTTAATGCTTCCAACCTCTCCTCGTAGCTCTTGCCCTTCAGTTCTGGGAGCCACTTCGTAGCATGTCTTTGCACCTTTTCCAGTTTGTTGATGTGCTTCTTAAGATATGGGCACCACACAACAGCTGCATATTCTAGCTTTGGCCTAACAAAAGTCATGAACAATTTCTTTAGTATATCGCCATCCATGTATTTAATTGCAATTCTGAAGTTAGAAAGCATCGCATAGGCTCCTTGCACAATATTCTTTATGTGTTCCTCAGGTGATAGTTTTCTATCTAGAACCACCCCTAGATCTCTTTCTTTATCAGAATTCTTTAAAGATTTCTCACATAATATATAGGTTGTATGGGGTCTATGTTCTCCTATTCCACATTCCATAACATGACATTTATTAACATTAAATTCCATTTGCCAGGTGTTGCTCCATATACTTATTTTGTCCAGGTCTTCTTGAAGGGCATGACAATCATCTAAATTTCTTATCCTTCCTATTATCTTAGCATCATCAGCAAACATGTTCATATAATTCTGTATACCAACTGGTAGATCATTTATGTACACAATAAACATCACTGGTGCAAGAACTGAACCCTGTGGTACTCCACTTGTGACATTTCTCCATTCCGATACATTGCCTCTGATTACTGCCCTCATTTTTCTATCAGTCAGAAAATTTTTCATCCATGATAGAAGCTTACCTGTCACCCCTCCAATATTTTCCAGAACAACCTCTTATGTGGAACTCTGTCGAAAGCCTTTTTTAGGTCCAGATAGATGCAGTCCGGTACCCTATGCCCCTGTTACCTAGCAGTAAAATAGGTACCTGGATGTTAGTCAGCTGTCACGGGCTGCTCCTGGGGGTGGAGGCCTGGTCGAGGACCGGGCCGCGGGGACACTAAAAAGCCCCGAAATCATCTCAAGATAACCTCAAGAGAAGACAAGGAACGAACCAGCAACCCAATTGGGCTACAAGTAGCCCAAACAGGCACCCCGGACAGGGAGTAGGTAAAGAAAACGAACAGTGCCGAGACCGAGGACAAAGAAAATACTGGAACAAAAGAGCGAAACAGGACCGAAAACCCAGGATAAACCCGGAAGGGGACCAACAAGCCCAGAAAAAATGGAGGAAAGCCACACCAAAAGATGCCAGACGTTCCAAAAATACGGAAAGTAGCGAAACCTTCCCGAACCTTCGAGAACATCCACAAGCAAACAGAAATCATGAAGGCACAGAAAAGCACAGTCGCACCCGAGACCAAAAGTCATGCAGAACCCCCAAAAAGGAATGGGGAACATGACAGGAAGTCCGTCCCAAGAAAAGGGGTGAAAAAAACGCAAAGAGCACCCACGAACAGGACGGAACCAACGGACTCAAGGAACAAGGAACCGAGCCCGGGGAGGGGCTGATGCCCAACAACTCGTACGAAGAGGGGGAAAGGAAAAACCCCACTCCTCGCAACCGCAAGCCCCGCTCGAAGGGTAAAATAACCCCAGCAGGGACCAATGGGGCCCGGGGTCCCCCAGGCAGCCCCTCCCCAGCCCCCGTTAACCCACACGCCAGGCCCAGAGGCCGAGCCGTCCCCCCTAAGCCCCGGCCACAAGAAAAACCGGGGCAGCCGCGAAAAATAGCAAGGAAGGGAGCCCACTGGCAGACTCATACAACATGGCTGGAGGAACAGGCTCAAATGCCCCTGTCGCTACCCCAGAAGGGGAATTCCCCGAGACTGCCCGAGTCTCAAAAGCATCGAAGCCCTGCCCCGACCCTGAGCCCACAGACGGTAAGAACCCGGATGCAGGGAGAAAGGGGAGGGGGGAAGACAAGGGGCGTGGAAGAAAACCGAAGCAACCAACACCCCCAAGCCCCGTCACCAAAACGGGGCAGCTTCGGGGCTTCCGGGGAGCAAACAACCTAGGGCATTGCCAACCGAAACACGATGTGCAACGCCTGTGCTGCCTGCACCCACATAGTCAGCATAAGTCTGGGTAAGCAAGCCACAAACAAGCAACAAAACTCACAGGGCTCCGGGCCGAAGATGCCACCGACCCCACAGGCAGCAGACAGAGGCAAAACAGTGAGAGTCACCCTGAGACAAGGGGACAGAGCAGCCCTCGAACTCGCACAAAGCAAGGGTGGGGGGGCACCCCGGGGTCACATCCATCGGACCCACGCATTCCCGTGGGGATTCCCAGGGTCCTGAGCGCTTACTTGAAGAGGACTCATGCTCGGGTAAACCCAGGCAGGGTACTGCTAACCGGCGCCCAAGACTACCAAACAACCTTCCAAGAACTGAACCCCCCTGACGTGTACACTCATGGGGACCTAGCAGGGGGAACCACTTGAAGGAGGAAGAGGACTCAGTACAGGGGACAGGGGGCAAGAACCAAGGCAGACCCACCCACCAGGCAGAAAAAAAAAAAAAAAAGAAAACCCTGCAAGAGGTCAGCGTACCCAGGCGGAACAGAGCCGGCCGCTATGATAGGTGAAAACTAGCTGCACAGTACGCTACACCCCGCCAGTGCAAACTGCCCCCTACCCCAAGGCGAACAAGGGAGACAGAACACACAAGGGGTGGCCGAAAACCAAGCAGTAAACAACCTAGCAGGGGCAGAACCCAAGGAACTTGTGGAAGGGAACCCCAAGCCCCAAGGGCAGTACTTACAGGGCACCTAGGGAAGGAAACCCTAGGTGCATGCAGCCCGAGTACTGAAGAAACACTCCCGGCTCATGCACCATCTAGAAGACAGACACCACACTCTAGGTACAGTGCTGAAACAACCACCGAAGCCGGAGCACATGACCTCAGCCTTTAGCATCAGCCTTAGAACTGGGGGTGGATAGCCAGTGCGATGGGTGGGTCTGGGGCTCCCCCTTCCCCCTCCCGGGAAGGGGGGAGCTGCGCGGACAGCGGAGCCGCGACGTGTGATGTCATGATTGTTTGCTCGTTTATTTTAGGGGAAGTTCTATCCACTTGTTCGGCTTGTGGTAGCAATTTTCACCAGAATAGGGGTTTGTTTTGGGATGCATACCTTTCTGGGTACCTAACCCGGTCGATGGCAGACATAGAATGCTTCCAACCACACGGGGGTTTCTATAGGCCATTGCTCCCCTTGCCTCTTCTGAGGGGGGCCAGGTTCTGGCTCGTGGTCCCCGGTAGGCCCATAGAGCTTCATACACATGACTGATGCCAAAGTCTGATATAGCATATCAGCCAAGTAAGCTCCGGCGAGCCGAAGGGGCTCTCCCCAGAAAAGTTAAGACTTAATTTATGACTGGACAATGAAGGGCGGTGGTGGCTTACCATGTAAGGGCGTGCCGATGCCAAAACATACCCAATACCAACCTACGGTTTTATCAACCACCAGACCGGTATTTGAGGCTCCAGATACCAGTCTTCAAAACCGGTTGTAGGACCCGGCAAAACGATAAATAAGAGGCTGTTATATCGAGTGGATACTAGCATATATCCTATTGGATAGCTTCAGGGAGCCTCCAGGGCTCACCCAGAAAATAGCGTTTCATTACATTCCACACTGGGTTTTTCCTACTTCCTTGAACATACTGTCAATGAAATTGCATTGAATTTGCAGTACTATATACATATTTCATGATAAATATATTCTCAGTCACGGTAAGCTTGTGAAAACAAGTTAAACTTCTATGTAACTTACTGAGCCAATGTTGTAGAGTGTAATTGTTCCACCGGTGACATCCTGAACTCTGAGAGATCCTCGTGATTCCAAATTCTGCAAGCGGTTCAGCTCAGCAGATACTTCTAGCAATGTTAGCCCCTGAACACCCTTTATGTTGGGTACTACTAGGCCCTTACTGGTATCCATGGCAATACCAATGTTGTGACTTGTCTATGTAGAAAAAAAACAAAATATTTAGAAAAACCAGACTGAGCCAATAAGGCATATACATGAGCATAGTTATTCATTTGCTCCCTAAGGAAAGAATCTGCTCAACCAGAAACAGAATTTATGAAGACAGGTAGGATTATGGGGGATACTTTCCGATGGCACTGGAGAAAATCTCAAACTTTAGAGCATAATCAAAGGTGTATCCATAATGACTAAGCCTTATCATATCCTCATTTGGCAGCAGTGATATCACATTCTTCCTGACAAGCACAAATTTGCAAACGGTAACTGTGCAAATTCATCAAATCCCTAAGAGTAAATTTATGGTCATCATGGCCTAGTTCAACCAATTCTAGTCTAGCTATTATTTAACTATGAAACATAGAATATAAAATGTTTTCAATGTAAAATTGTTGTTAGAGAATAGTTCAATTAAAATAGAATCCAATCACTTAGCAGTTTTTAAAAGTAATTTGAAAATACAGGGATACCTCGGTTTAAGAGTTTAATCCGTTCCTGGAGACAGCTCGTAACCCGAAAACTCGTAAACCGAAGCTAATTTCTTCATAAGAAATAATGGGAAATGAATTAATCTTTTCCTGGCTACCCAAAAACCTCAATTCAAACTAAATTTTGTACCTAATTCATCCAAATCTACACTACAAAAGTATATTCAAGTTATTACTTACCCTTGCTGATGACTCTTGTTGATGTATGGAAGATGGTGAGGAGGGGGAAGGAGAGGTGTTACTGTTTGGAAGGGGAGTCCCCTTCTTTTATAACATCAGGCAGTAAAGATTTTTCTGGAGTGTACTCTCTGGCACGTTTTGCCTGCATACCACTAGGTCCTGGTTGTGGCTCACTGCTTGATTTTCTCACAACGAAACAATCCATTGAAGATTGTTTTTCCCTTCTTTGCAACACTTGTCTGTAGTAAGACATCACAATGTCATTTAAAAGGTCAATGCAATGACTTGCTACAGCTTTATCTGGGTGAGTTTTTTCAACAAAACTTTGCAGTTCTTCCCATACTTCACACATTTTCTTAATGAAGAAGGGACATCCTCTACTGTCTCTTCTCAACTATTTTCTTGGGTTGAACCTTACCACTGGCTTTCTTGGGACCCATGGCAAGATATATAATAGCAACTTTTATACTCAAATGGCCAAAAATCTGACAAAAAACTGTAAATCCTTGTGAAGAATTCAGATGGGATAGTCACTGGGCGCAAGGCTCTGGTAAACTGAGGCGCGATCGTTGTGCCACCACACGCTAGGTCGGCCCGTACGCGTATCAACACCCTCGTATCCCGATCCAAATTTTCTGAGCAAATCCTGCTCGTAACCCGAAAAACTCATAACTAGAGATGCTCGTAATCCGAGGTACCACTGTAACACCATTGACAGTAGGCTTTAAAATATTCTAGGGGGATCCAAATCAACATCAAGAAATACAAGACCAATTAGCAAAATGCTGTACGTATAATAACGTTTTGTCTGGTGCGCCATTTCTAACTCACCTTATATGTAATGTTTTCACAATTTTCATCCACTGAAGAATTGAGAATTGGGAAATGGGAAAGGGCCATTGATGCTGCTTTGATGAAGACAGACATGTACGAGAAATGTACACCGTGGACAGCAGCCATATTCTTCAGTTTATCATGCAGGTTAACCAGCACAGTCATGTCAATTTCATCACAATACCAAAATTGGGGAATTTTCTGGGGAAATAATATTTTTCAGGTTATCAGTAAATAAATAGTCCAAAATCCAAAATACAGTGGACTCTTGATATTGGACAGTAGACTGCACATTCACCACAAAAAGCTAAAATACTATGCAGTAAACATTCAGTGCTACATGGTCAATGTATCACTGCAAGTGATCAGCACTAATATATTCATTATATTATAGCAATGTTTTTTTAAGAAACTACACATATGGATAAACAAAATAAACTAAATATAGTATAGTACTGTACTGTATTATGTTTTACAGCACTAGGAACATGTAACAAAACAGTTAACAAAAAAAATGAAGCAAGATTAGTGACAGGTGGAAAACCTAGCAAAATAAACAGGGAAATGATATGAACTCCATATGAATTGGTTTGTGACAATATACATCCTGGAGAAGATGAATATCGTTACATTAAAGAAGCAGTACCAAAGATAAAATATAATTATTTACCACTGCAGATATCCTATTCTTAATCACAGCTTTTTGAAAATCTTTGACTTTTTCGTCCTTGTCCTCTCCCAAGATGAATGGCACGGATGGTGGCATAGAGAGTTGGACATGAGTAGCAGCAGCTGGAGGGACCGCTGCCGGCCCACCTGCTGGGGTGGCTGATGCCGGCCCACCTGCTGGGGTGGCTGATGCCGGCCCACCTGCATGGATCAAACCACCTAGATTCAAAATCGAAAACATACTTGAGCAAAGATCAGCAACAGTACTTTACTTATGTGACAGCTAAACCAATACATCTATTTTTTCATAAAATCTTCTCAAGTAACAGTGAACATGGTAATTAGTGGATAATTAACTAAGGTCACTAACATAATTGTATAGTTTGGGTATGGTTATCTGAATTTCAGTGTCATATGACATTCTGTAAAATTATTTAGTGATTTTCTTAGATATTCAAGAATTGCATAACAATCTACAGTTATTTACTTTCGAGTCCTTAATTACCAATCAGACAATCAGTAGCATCATCTGGAAAATTTAATTAAATGAACTGCAAATCAAAGATTGAGATACCTGTAATAGCTCAAGACATTCAACACAAAAACTATTCTTTAAATTTAAAATTATCATCATCAACTGCAGTGTAGTGCCATGACTACAAAAGAACATGAAGCAATGCACAGGCTTATGATCACACGATCATATTTTTCTGTGCAGGACTGCAATGACATGATTATATCTTACTGTACAGGACTATGATTACAGGGTTATATATAACCATACAGGACAGTGATCACAATTATATCGTGCTGTGTAGAACTGATCCTACAGACCAAAAAACCAACAATGAATGTAATGAAATGCCATTTTCTGGGCGAGACCCGGAGGCTCCCTGGAGCTATCCAAAGTCCATATCATTAGACTTTGGCATCAGTTAGTGTGTATGGAGTTCTAGGCCTGCCGGGGACCATGAGCCAGAACCTGAGGTGCTGCTTGCTCGGTGTCCGAACCCTGAGGTTTTCCGCGGCTCCGCCTCTTCCAGCAGATCGGTCCGGTCCGTCACGTGGCTGGTTCGATCTTCTCCTCAAGTCTTTATGTATGGTATTTTTTACTCGAGTTTATCATCATCTCTATGGTGGTCAGGTGGCTTCCTTATTAGTGTCCCACCTGCAGGCTTCATCTCAGCGGCAGTATGAAGTTTCCTGGCAGTCCTTCCGGTTCTTCTTGCGTCTTCGTCATTGTGCTTCGCTTTCTGTTAGGGTAGTGTTGTCCTTTCTCTCTTGGTTGTTCCAGGACCGTCTTCTTATGCCTAACACTGTTGCCTCGTATCGTGCGGTGCTGGCGGAGCCGCTGCAGCTTGCTTTCAGTATTGATGTCACATCTGTGCCATTCCACAAGCTATCTCGGGCGTTGTTTCACCTCTGGCCTGCTCATGCGCCGCCTGAGCCGTCCTGGTCATTGGACAGGGTGCTCTGTTTTCTTTCTTCCCCTCGTTTTGCTGTGGGCCCCTTCGGTTCCGGATTGTTTTTCAAAGGCTCTTTTCCTGTTGGCATTGGCCTCTGGGGTTGGGTTGGCGAGCTTCATGTTCTCCTCCGGCGCAGAGGTTTCTGCTCTTTCGGTCGGGGTGATCATTTTGTTCGTCTGCAGCCTTTGTCTTTTCTGGCGAAGAATGAGACTGCTGCTTTTCGGAAGGGTCCCTGGGTTGTTGATGCTTGGTTGGTTAGGCCGGGGGTGCATCTTGTTTTGTGTCCGGTTGCGCCGTTATTTGCGCGCCACGGCTTCTGTATCCGTAGACGCCCTTTGGGTTGATCTGGTTTCCCTTCTTCCCTGTTCGAGGATGCGGGTCTCCCAGGTTGTCCGCAGGATATTTAAGGCTAGCCAGCCTGCGGTCTATCCTCGTGCCCATGACATCCACAAGTTCGCGGCTCTTGCCGCTGTCTTTGGCAATATGTCCTGGGCTGACATTCGGGCGCGGGGATTTTGGCGGTCGAACAAGGTCCTGGCTGCTCGTTACCTTGTAATTGTTCCTGGGCCCAGTCGGGCTTGTGTCACTTTGGGTTGTCGGATGCAGCCAGTTGTCTCGACTTCACGTTGAGGAGTGAGCGGCAACCGCCTCCAGGGTAAGTCTCTATTCTCTTTCCTCTGTGGGTAGTCAGCTCCGGGGAGCCGTATGGGCTCCCCCCCAGAAAACCAGCATTGAATGTAATGAAACACCATTTTCTGGGCGAGTCCCGGAGGATCCCCGGCATCCCACCCTCCCTCCTATCGGCGTTTTTTCGTGTGTTTTGACATCCAGCCTCAGAACTGGGGTGTGGATCGCTGGCATGGTAGGTCTGGGGCTACCCCTTCCCCCTCTCGGGGAGGGGGAGCTGCGCAGACAGCGGCGTGATGACGGGTGACGTCATACTAGTTTGCTCGTTTTTGTTTGGGGAGTTCTATCCACTTGTTCGGTCTTTGGTTGCAATTTTCACCAGAATAGGGGTTTGTTTTGGGACGCCTACCTTTCTGGGTGCCTAACCCGGTCGATGGCAGACATAGAATGCTTCCAATCACACGGGGGTTCTAAGGCCATTGCTCCCCTTGCCTCTCTGGAGGGGGGCCAGGTTCTGACTCGTGGTCCCCGGTAGGCCCACAAGAACTCCATAAACATGACTGATGCTAAAGTCTGACATTAGCATATCAGCCTAGTAAGCTCCGGGGAGCCTCTGGGAGCCATAGGGGCTCCCCCAGAAAAACACTGGGCGGAAAGGGGGGGGGGGTTGCCAGGGAGCCTCTAAGTCTCACCCAGAAAACGACGTTTCATTACATTCAACACTAGTTTTCTGCCAGGACCCTGTTCGACCACCAAAAAACCTATGCCCGAATGTCAGCCCAAGACATGTTACCAAAGACAGCAGCCAACGCAGTAAACTTACGAAAGGATGGGCATGGGGGATAGACTACTGGCTGGCTAGACCGAATAACCCTGGGGACGACCTGAGAGACCCGAACCTTAGAACAGGGAAGAAAAGAAACCAGATCAACCCAAAGCGCATTCCCGGTCACTGAGGCTGTGGCACGCAAATAACGGTGGAGAGCCGCAACCGGACACAACACATGATGCACCCCTGGCCTGATCAATCAAGCATCAATAAACCAAGGACCCCTCTGGAAAGCAGCAGTCTCATTCTTCACCAGAAAAGGAGACGGCTGCAAACGAACGAACTTATCACCTTGACCAAAAAAGCAGAAAACCCTGCGCCTGAGGAGAGCATGAAGCCCCCAACCCGACCCGCAGAGGCCAATGTCAACAAGAAAATAGCCTTAGAAAAACAATCCTGAACCGAAGGGGGCCACAACAAACTGAGAAGACAAATAAGAGAGCGCTCTGTCCAAAGACCAGGACGGCTCAGGCACCGCATGAGCAGACCGGAGGTAAAACAACGCCCGAGACAGCTTGTGAAACAGTGCAGAACATCAAAACTGAAAGTAAGCTGCAGCGGCTCCGTTAACGCCACACGATACGAGGCGACAGTATTCGGCATAAGATGATGGTCCTGAAACAGCCATGAGAGAAAGGACAAAACAACCTTAACTGTAAGCGAAGTACAGCAATGGAGTGACAAAAAGTACCGAAAGGACAGCCAGGAAACTTCATACTGCCGCCGAGATGAAGCCCACAGGTAGGACACCACCAAAGAAGCCACCTGATCATCATACAGATGGTGATAGACTCAAGTCAAAACGACCAAACGTGAAGACTCGAGGAGAAGATCGAACCAGTCCCGTAACGGACCGGACCGATCTGCTGAAAAAGGCGGAGCCATGGGAAAACCTCCTGGTTCAGACACCGAGCAAGCAGCGCCTGAAACCAAGGCTGGATCGGCCACCATGGGGCCAAGAGGACTACGCGTCCCTGGTAAGTCTCCAAGCGAGCCAGAGCCGAAAGGACCTTTCAAGCTTTCGGTCGTGCCGAAAGGCATCGACCCCAACGGCCTCTCAGCCGGGGAAGGGCGCCACATATACCAGATACATCGAGTAAGGGGTCGGGTAGGCGCCAACAACTGAACCCCAAAAAACCCAAAGGGGGAGCCGGCAATGTAGCAGCCGACACAAGGCCACTTGAGTCTTGTGTCGAACCCAGCGATCGTGAGAAGCAGAAGGGCAGTCCCCAAAGGAACCAGAACAGCCGACGAAGCCAAACCCAACCCGGCGGGTAGACCATCATCGCAAAGTTCAGACTCCTGCACAGACCCTCGAGCAACTGCCGCGTGACCTGGAAGCCCCCTCGAAACAAGCACATGCGGGACCACAGCCGAAGGAGACTCTAGAAGGAGAGACAAGGAAGCGGTCCAAGACTCCCACACAAGACCCAGCCAAGTCCGAACCTGGGGGGGGGGGGGAACCAGATGGGACTTCCGCCTTTTCACCATGAACCCAAACCCGGCAAGCTGGGAAAGAACCAAATCCCTGTCGAGCAGCCATGCGGACCGACTGGGAGCACAGACCAGCTAGTCGTCGAGATAGGCCAACACCCAAATGCCTAAAAGATGCAGACGGGCCACCACGACCCGGATGAGGCATGTGAACTCACGAGGAGCCAGGTTCAACCCGAATGGGAGACTACAAAAGCGGTCTCCAAGACGCCCAACAACAAAACTGAGCCAGTCCCTGAACCCCGGATGAATTGGGACGTGCCAATATGTGTCCTTGAGGTCCAGGGACATCATCCAAGAGTCCGGCTCCAACAGAAGCCGGACCTGGGAGAGAGTGGTCATCCGAAAGGAAAGGGAAGAATCCCAGGGGTTCAGATGGGACAAGTCCAGAATGTCAAGTCCAGACCCCCCAACACCACCGTAGGCCATGGGAAAAACTTGAAAAGCCCACAAATTGTGAGATCCGTGCACCCCCATGGGGTTTCCCAGGACCCCTAGACTGGTATTGCTAAGGGGAAGCCCAGGCAGGGTACTGCTAACCGGCACCCAAATCTACCAACAAACTTCTAAAACTGAACTGCAGGGATGTGTCCACTCACGAGGGCCAAGCAGAGGGTACCACCGAAAACCAGAGGTCAAGACCCTAACACTATCGCGCGCTGGGCATGCGCGCCACCAACTTAGAGGTCACGCCCCTGGCATGCGGGCGAGCGTGCGGGTAAGCTCGTGGCGACACTGCAATGTGTATACTTGTTTCAGTTTTCTCACCTTAATTCTCGTGCTACATCATTCGTTTTGGTATC